AATTATTAATTTGTTTAGAAAAAATAATAGAAATTTATTTATCCATTATAATAAAAAAAATCGGTTCTTATTCGGTTATTCGGTTCTTGGTCTAGAACCAAGAACCAAACCAAACCATTCGATTCTCGATTCGGATACCCGTTCGGGTATTTCATTTTTAAAACCCGCTCGATTTGGTTCGAATATTTTGTCCAGCCCTAAAATTAATTAGTCAAAAATTATTTCGAGATCACAAACCAAAATTTTTATAGGTCACAGTTTATTTCATTGGTTACAAAGAAAAAAATTACAGGTCACATATTATGAATCGGTCACAGATTTTTAAATTTGTTGGTCACAATATATATTTCAATCATAAGTTATCAAATTTTAAGGTCACAGTTTAATATTAACCACAAATAATCAAATAATTGATCACATATACCAAAAATTAGGTCACATACCACTGCCAACACCACTTACGACCACCGTCACTCTGCGACTGTCGCCAGCACCACAAGACCATCACTACCGCACTAAATCCACCATCACCCTCACAATTTTTAGATCACATGTTACAAATTAACCAATTATTGGTCACAGGCATCCAACCCACCTCACCGCCGCTACGACCACCACCATCGCCCGCAGCACCTTTCACAGCACCACCACCACACCACTGCACAACCGTCATCTGCCAAAATCTACCACTTTCCCAAAACTACCACACAGTTCACACCACACCACACCACAACCATCACCCCTCCAACAAATAATCAAGTCCGTCACCGCTACCGCCACCATCGTCAACACCTCCACCTACACCACAACCTAAACTGCCTTACAATCTGTAACTAAAACACCACAACTACCACCACCTCTCGACAACGACATCACTGCGATTACTAGAATGAATGCTATGATTTGTGCCCAGTAATTTTACAGAATCAATGCTGTGGTTTGTGCCCAGTAATTTTTCAGCGCCGCTANCCACCATCGTCAACACCTCCACCTACACCACAACCTAAACTGCCTTACAATCTGTAACTAAAACACCACAACTACCACCACCTCTCGACAACGACATCACTGCGATTACTAGAATGAATGCTATGATTTGTGCCCAGTAATTTTACAGAATGAATGCTGTGGTTTGTGCCCAGTAATTTTTCAGCGCCGCTACTACAGCGGCGGTGATGCTCAACCACCAGATCTCGTTGAGGGGAGAGAGTGAGAGATGAGATTTCACACCCACCGCGTTGTGTGGTACAGATCACCTCAGTGCTGCTTACGTGGTGGCAACGACGTGGTGGCAATGACTAAAGTGAAATGGGGTAGGTCTCCGGCGGCGTGTTCTCCGGAAAATGTGACCTATCAAACACGGCCTTAGTGAAATTAAAAATTAGTGTAACCATAATAAAGTGTGGTGGCAATATAATTACCCGATTCTAAATTCTCATTAATTAAGCAAATTACAAAGTCTAATGATTGTGGTTCTTTTAATTTATATTTATTGCAAAGAGAGGTATATGAAGTCGATTGATCATGATGTAGTCGTTTTTTCACTTCTGCTCGATATTGGATTAGATTATAGATATTACTTTGCTCAAAAAATATTTTCTTAAAATAATTTCTCTAAGAAATCTATCAAATTCATTTTACTAAAAGGGGACTGAAAAGTGAAAATAACTATGCTGAAACCCATAAGGCCTTTCATTATATAGATGACAAGGTGTGATCTATATTCTCGTATTTACACCATATTGTTTAATGGAGGGTCATTAAGATTGAGAAATTAGTCCCTCGACTTCATGTATAGTTTATATAAAAATACTCAAGATGATCGTATCCCTAAGTGCACAAACCCCGCACTGGAGTCGAGGAAAATGGAATGTTCAATGTAGCTGAGTTTTTATTGTCCTTATATTGTCGTGTTTGGATAAAAGTGAATATTTATTCATTGAGAATTGGTAATCTATTGGATGGCAATTTTGCAATGTCCTAAAGTAAAACTGTCTATCATAAATTATTGCAATCCCTTTGGAGTGATTGTCTAAAGATGTCACAACAATTTACGGTGGACAATTTCACTTGAGGTGTGATTTAAGATGTATCGAATTGAGACTTTTATATAT